GCCAGAGCCGGCCCTGGGGCCATGTAGTCCAACTGCCTAGCCCCTAGGACAAGTGCTGACCCCTCAGACTCTTCTGTAGCTTAAGCACACCCTCCACCAGAACTCCAGCGGTGTGGGCACTCTGGGTTTACAGTTCATCTTTTCAGGGGCATGTGATAGTGAAGCAAATATGCACACACAGACTTTGCACAGAATTCTAAAACACATTGCATTTTACTTAGGTAAAATGAGAGATCACAGATCTAGGCAAAGTAATATACACAACTGTATGCATTTGCTTGCCTCAGTTTCCTCATCACTGCAGAGTTCTTTGGCCTTAGCAGAACTATCGGAAGTGTCCAGGATCCCCCGTTCTGCACCTTTTCTCTTGAGAATCATGGAGTCTCTCCCTCTCTCTACTCCAAGTCAGCTTCCTTCCTTTCACCTTGGCTGGTTCCATAGGAAACAGGGCCCCATACTATGAAAGCACGCCTGCCTCATCCTCTTTTCTACTAAAGCTTCCTGTGTCTGAGTCTTCTTTAAACTTCTGCTTTTCATCCCTATTTCTTTGTTCTGCTGCTAGGAATTGTCCACTCTCCACTTCCCCAGTACCCTACAGAAAAACTTAGTTGCATTGGTTTCCCTGGGCTTTCAGCCAAACCATTGTCCAAAAGTGTTTCCACCTGAACAAGCAACCAATAAAGGTCTAATGACCTACCATTGTCTCTGGTCTGTAGCTGGTTCTACAGCCCTGATAACAGATGGCTGTCTCCACATCCAGTGATGTATGCAAGGATACAATAAGTTCATAACAATTTCATAGCATCAACCAGAATTCATAAATTGTACTGTTACTTGATCTTGCAGTCTCATGCTTGGGTTAGCATAAAAACAGGTAGAATCTCTCTAATGATGACATGGGCATAGCTCAGTAACAGCAGAACGTGTATTATTACTGGAAGAGCAGACAGTAGGAGTTCCCCTCTTGCAGCTAGTGCTGACTCCAAAAAACACATTCACTTTTCTCCAATCCCTAGGCAGAAGCACCCCCCGATCCCACTTACTTGGTCAGGGGACCTTGCCTTTTAGATAGGCAGGAAACACACCCTTTAGGGGATGTCTATGGATGTGCCCTTCCACCCCCAACTCTTAGCCAGCACAGTAACTCAGGTCCAGTATATAAACTGATTCTCCAAATCATCACAGTAAGCTATTTAAGCATGTGCCTAGCCTTCAAACGTTCTGAGATGTAGTTCAGCAATTATCTATTATACCCCTGTTTTTTAAAATGTTAATTTAATATTTTTGTAGTTTCTTAAAATATCAAGTAAACTTTTAGTCCATTGACTTTTGTCCTAATAATATATCATAGTTTAAAAAATAATGATAATACAGAATGGATCCTAAATACAAAACCATCCCATTATGAAAGAATAAGCTATTAAAAATACCTATCATGGTATCATAAAGTAGTACGCTAATCAAATATATTTTTTCACATGTCAATTAAATGTTTCATAGTGCTATATTAGTTGACAAAACAAAATTAAAATTTTTGCCAAAATTGAAAAGCTGAGCTTCTCAGTGACTGCACTCATAAAATACACACTCAGGATGCCAGCTTTCTTTGTACAGTATGGATAACATAGTATGGCCACATCAAGTGTTTACAAATCATGAATCTGGCTCCCCAAAATCATGAGTTTAAAAAAATGCTCTTTTGTGCTCTTTTTATTTGCCTTCTGGTTTTCAAGCCTTAACATTTCATTTTTTTTTCAAGGTTTTCTCTGTAACCATGATGACTAGAACCCTTTTTAAAAAATGAAAACTAAGATTCTCATGTAATCACGTCTCCAGGCGTTGGGGCTTTAAGAAAAACACCAAATATTGTTAAACTTGTGATAAAAATTGTGAGAGCTGGCAACAATGTGCTGCTTATGCCTGCAATTACCTGATTTAGGTATGGAAATCTGGGATCTGCAAGTGCAATTGGTGTGTGTATATTAGAGAGATCCATTTATTTTAACTGGAGTGCACAGTCCTGTTAAAAAATGCAACTAGCCCATGCCCATTTTTGCAGAACCCATTGAACCCAGGGGCTATTTTTTCAATATGATGCAACGGATATGGGAAAATTATTTTCAGTAGCCACCTGAGAGTTTTTTCTTAGGGCAAAATGTGCATGTGCAAATTGTTGTTATTATTGTTATTTTGCAGGACTCAATGGGGCACGTGTATTTGTAGAGTTTCAGCTACTTTTGCTGTGGTTTGTCGAGGCATAGTCAGTTTAACAAAATATATGGGGAAATAATTAAATTAAACATCTGCAATACATGGCTCATGGACTTTTAAACAACTAATTGAAGTCACGTTTTTTCGTGTATTCATAAGCAGGAAAGGAAATTTTTGAAAACCCGATAGTGAAAAACAGACCACCTTCTGGAGAATGCGGGCATCGATCCCGCTACCTCTCGCATGCTAAGCGAGCGCTCTACCATTTGAGCTAATTCCCCAGGCCATCAACCTCTCGCTCAGTCACTCACACATATGCAGTCCGCTCATCGCGTGATCTACTCCTTTCTCCCTGATTCCAGGAGCGGCAAGCTGTTGTCAGGCAGTTTCGCTACCTCCCTTCTTTGCTGAGGGCGTGGTTTCTTCCGTTGGCCAATGGGAAAGGGTGATGGGCGAGGCTAGTTTTGTGTTTGCGGCCCTCGGCTTCCATCCCGCCCTCTGTGTACCTCCATTGGTTGCACATCGGTCTGAGTCTTTTACCAGCTGATTGGTCTAACCCGGTTTATTTTTAAACTTAGTCGCGGCTCTGATTGGGTAAAAAACACGCCTGTCACCGTGACGTTGAGCTGTTGCTAAGGCGTGAAGGTGGGAACCAGAGGGGCCCACCCGAACGCCCTGATTGGCCTTCAGGATCCCGTTCAGCCCGCCCTCAATCCCCATGTAGTCCACTGGTGCTGTCGTTCATATGTTATTGGCGGCCAAAGGAAAACCAATGGGAGACGGAATTTATGCTATTGTCCAATGGAAGTGTGATCGGTGGGGACCTGGGCGTGTCAGGGAAGTGTGATTGGCAGGCGAGGAGGGGGAGCGAAGGAAAGCTCACAGGGTCTGATATGTCCGCCATCTTGAAGTGTCGGTGATGGTGGCGAGCGCTCGCTTTCCCGTCTGAGCCGAGGCAGACCGGGACCCGTGACGGGGAGACGCGCTCGCCGAGGTAGGGAGGTCCGGGGGGCCGCGGCCTGAGTCAACTATCGCCGGGGGTTATTCCCCCTCCCTGACACTCTGCCCCAATGCACGGGCCCGGTGAGCGCTCTTCTCCCCCCGCCCTGCGCAGGGGCTGGGGGGGGGCGCGTCTTCCTGTTCCCCGGAGTCTGCGGGCTGGTCTTTGAGGCCTCCTCCCGCGATTGGGGGCCGTTTCCCGCCCCTCTCCCCGGTTTGCGCCTGGGGGGGGGGGCGGCCTTGTTTGCTCGCTCGCTTCCCGCCCCTAGTAGCGGCCTGGCTGAGTTGTTTTGCTTCCTGTGGAATAGGGCTGTGTCGACCCCCTCTCTCCCCAAGTCCCAGGTCATGCCTTGCCCCCTCCCCGGCACTGAGCGTGGGGTGGGGGCTTCCTAGGGTACCTTTTCCTCTGGGTCCCTCATATGCGCCGTTGGAGGGGCACTGACTTTACCCCCATATGGCTGCATGTGTGACCCCCCCCCGCACTTGCTTTCCAGCGGTACTCAGCGGGAGGTACTGAATCACTAGGGACCCGGTGTTACTTTTACCGCCTGTTGCCTCGGTTAAAGGGATCCAGCTGTTTTCTTTGCTTGTCTTCTCACTACAGCTCTTCTCTCAAATTACTAGTTAGAACTGGGCGTGTTAGTTTGAATTGCGGTCTTTCTGCGAACACCTGAACAACCTTTGAGCTTTGTCTCGAGGAAGGTGCGTGAAGGTCTGTCTCCACAGCGTAGCCAGCTCCCTGAGTCAGTCTGTGTGTCCCAAGCCTGCAGACGCATGTGTTTCCTCGCTGAGTTGCACAGGTCAGGTGTGGATTTCATCTCTGGGTCAGGGATAGCTGCACAAGATAGATGTTGAAGTTGGGTAGGAGAAGGTGTTACTCTGTTCCACTTAATGTAAATTATAACTGTCTTATGTCTTTTGGGGTGTCATAGGATTTTAACATCTATTTTCCTTAGTACAAATGTCAAGACTTTATTATTCAACTAGCAGAATCCCTGAGTGATGCTGTTTTTCAATGGGCCCATAAACATTATTTTAAACCTCTCAAAATAAGAAACTTTGCTTTCTTATTGTCTTGGTTCTTAGTAATTGTTGGGAAACTAGATGAATTATCAGAGGGACACTGTCAGGTTAAAGTGTTCTTTCTAAAAGCATTCAGAATGCTCCTTAATTTGAAACTTGGTTTCCTCTTTGCTGTTATACTCCTTCCTCAGTTTGGACAGTGAAAACAGACTAGTTATTGCTCTTGTTCACACTTAATTTTGCTCTTTGAGTTTTAAATTAGTGCCTCAGTGGTTCATGTGCTCATTCTCAAAATCGTGGCAACATTTTGGCTAGTTCTAACTTAAAAAACAAACAAACAAAAAAAACCCTTGGGTTTTTAGTTCTCTTACAAAAAGTGAATTTTAGGCTGTACTGAACATGACATAGTGTTTAATTCTGACCTTTTCTTTAGTGCCTCAGAGTGCTTTCTGAGTAGAAAAGTGAATTGGAGCTCCAAGACTGTCCCATGATGTGCCTGGAGATCAGTATAGATGGGTATAAAATGTAAGAAATAAACCTTTTCAAAATACCTGATTCTTTGGTATTATGTTGGAACTGTTTGGGATGTGTAACCAGTGAAAGCTGTTATAGAAGGCTTAGCTGTCTTCTGAGTAGATGTTAACTGGGTAAAGGAAACATGCCTCTACTCCTGGAACTTACTAGTTACAGAAAAGTTTCTGGATGCTGTTAGCTTAAAAATCAGAGGTTAAAACCTTTAACAGTGTTACTCGTGTTGAATCTTGAATGGAAGGAATTCTGATTATTCTTTACTATTTATGCTCTTTATTTACTTGTGTTTTTTATCAATGAAAAATTAGTTTTACTTTCAAGTTCACTGTTGTGTTTGAATTGCAAACACTGCATGAGCGCTTGTTTCTACTGGAATGTTAAAGCTAGGGAAAGGTCTCTAGCATTCTTTCTTAAAGGTATCAATTGATATTTTTTTCATAAAACATACTTTATATGTATGTGTATGCATGTTCATTTGGCTGTACATAATTTATTTTCCACCTAATAAGATTTGGATTGGAGTTGCAGCTTTAAAACTGAAGGGAACCTTAAAATTGTTCATTGGTGTCTAATTCTTTACTTGTAAATACTAGATCCTTCAATACATAGTGTCTTTATGGGGGGGGCTCTGCTCAGGCACAGTAGGCCACCTGCATGTTTCGCATTGTAGGATTGGGGTGTAAATCACAAACATGTCTTTAGAAATTCAAGGAAAAAATAAGGAATCTCTTTATACTAGTGATTTCTTTTCTGTATCAGTAAGGCTCCTTGAACTTGTATGTTCATTTTGCAAAAAAACAATAATTTGTATATGAAATAACAGGGTGGATTTGATTTAAATCATATTGATTTAAATCACTAGTCAGGAAGACTCAATTTAATCATGGATTTCTACATAAAAGTGCATTCTTGTTGGTTGTTATAACCTTAATATATATTCTTCACAATTCAGAGATAGATGTAGGTTTCATTTTTAGAAGGTACACACTATACATTTTTAAAGTGATTTATTTTGAAAACTTTTCAGATTAGTTTTACAGCTATATCAGAAAATGAATGATTGTTTGGTTATTTCATTTACCAAAGGTAATTGAAGCAGATAGTTCACCTCCCAATGACTTCATAAATATCTCCAATTCAACAGGTTAATCATTAATATTTGGAGGATTTTCTTGCCATGCTGTATTAGGAAGAGAACATCACCAGACAGACATTTAAATTGTTTTAGTTAAATCCAGAATACATAACGTTGTTGTTTTAGTTTTTTCCTTCAACAGCAAACATATAATAATATAACAAAACAAGCATATGAATTTTTGAATTTAGTTAAACATTCAAGTTTTTTAAAATCAGGTTTGTTTTTTTAATATTGTTTTTAACTAAAATAGTTAAATGAAATATTAAAAAAAACCCCAAAATTAAATAGACTCTGTCAGTCAGGTCAACATGAGAAACTTGGCTCCTGCAGCTAACTCAGTCCTCTTACCTTCATTTTCCTGTTTGTTCCTAATCTGGAAAGGAAATACAAGCTTTCCTGCTTTTTCAGGTCCCAAACGATTTCTCAATTTGGAATGAATTAGTCCAAAGGGAAAAAAATATTCTTCCTACACCGGCAGAAGAAGCGACTGCTGTTAAAAGTGAGATTATCACTTCAACAGTCTCTGAATCCAAGTGCTTAAGTGGCTTCCACCAGTTCACTGGGGTGACTTTCTTTAGAACATCATCAGCAAACATATATTTCTTGAATGGTTCTTATTCCCAAACTGGGTCTGTTTTACAGCCTGCTGCCATTATAGGTTTTCCCTTCTAGTGAGAGAATGGTATGGTAGATCTCAAATCAATGAAGGCTACATTCGACCTCAAGACTTCTGGAATATGCCGCTCAAACAGTTTCACTTTTGTTTCTACTGCCTGTCCCTCCCTTCTCACATTTATCTCCAGAGTTGTTCTCCTTGTCCATATCTATTCCGCCACAACAATCTATTCATTAAACTTTTTGAAACTTTGCACTTTTAGAGAGAGGTAAGGGATTGACTCTGTGTACACAAATTTGCAGAGGGACAATAGGATTTAGGTCTCTTATTTCTCACCTCTCTATTATTTATTTAAAAACATTTTTGTTGTTAACAAGCATGTTATCTCTGGAGAACAAATCCACAGTTTGAGAACTGCAAAACTAAGCATCTCTGATGGTATCTTCTAGACCAGTTGTAGGCAACCTATGGGCACGCAAGCTGATTTTCAGTGGCACTCACACTGCCTGGGTCCTGGCCACTGGTCCGTGGGGCTCTGCATTTTAATTTAATTTTAAATGAAGCTTCTTAAACATTTTAAAAACTTTATTTGCTCTACATACAACAATAGTTTAGTTATATATTATAGACCAGGGATCGGCAAACTTTCAGAAGTGGTGTGCCGCGTCTTCATTTAATCACTCTAATTTAAGGTCTTGCGTGCCAGTAATATATTTTAATGTTTTTAGAAGGTCGCTTTCTATAAGTCTATAATATATAACTAAACTATCGTATGTAAAGTAAATACGTTTTTTTTTAAATGTTTAAGAAGCTTCATTTAAAATTAAATTAAAATGCAGAGCCCCCCACACTGGTGGCCAGGACTCAGGCAGTGTGAGTGCCACTGAAAATCTTCTTGCGTGCCGCTTTCGGCACACGTGCCATAGGTTGCCTACCCCTGTTATAGACTTATAGAAAGAGCTTCTAAAAACATTAAAATGTATTACTGGCAAGCAAAACCTTTAAATTAGAGGTTGCTAACCCCTGTTCTAGACTGAGCACGGAGTCCCATTCGGTAGATAGAAAGATTAACCTAAATAATCTATACGGAAGCCCCTGGAATCCCATAAGATTGGGTCTCTAATCCATGAACTGTTGGAACTCATTTACAAAACTTTTCTTAAACATTACATGAATATATTGTCTCATACTATAGAATTAGAATTTATAATCCCTATTCCATGATGAGACATTATAACTCAGATATATCTTAATTAAAACTATCTTTAGATAGCTTTTTTCCTCAAAAAGCAATTTATCAAAAAAATCTGATTTAAATAAAAAAATTGGATTTTTTTTTAAAGTCATTGATTTTTATCCACCCTGTGAAATATTGACTTGTGCTACCAGGGTGGTTAAAGTCATTTTTGCCTGTAATACTACAGTAAAATTTTATTTCGGCTAAAAATGACAGTCACTGTAGAGTTTAGGTTACAGAGATCCTTAAACTTCAGGAAAACATCCAGTTAAGCTAAAACATGTGAGATCAGGAATTTGGTGAAAGAGCTTTTTAGTCTCAAATGCTAATGTATTTAGGAAGACTAGTTAGAACTGAGCATGCATAATGTCTTGTAGTTTATGTGCAAACAAGTTAGGTTTACGCATAAATTAAGGCTAGCATATGTTATACTGTAATTTAGGCTATCAT